CCATTCCAATAATGTACCTACCATCAATACTTGGTGATTGTACATCATATACAGCTGTCCATTCCTGGTGCCATTCTCCACTAGAGTATCGAATCACAACACACCAACCATGAGGATGTACTTCAAGGGACGATATACACCATGGTGTCACACCTTCAGGGAACTCTTCAATAATCTCAAACTTGTTCCTGTCTGACCAAGGGACATTATTTGTTGCTTTGCGTGCTGCGTTRTGATATGARCCAGACATGGTCCAAAAAGGCAGCCAGTAATCACCTGGTTTGGTGCTGAGTTGTTCCAGGTCAAGGTTATGTATAATAACCAAATGTCCAGCAATTGATGAAATGATCATTTTSGTACTACAAGGTGTCAATTTCATTCTTGTAAGACGAGGAATTTTTAGCACAACTTTTCCTTCCACAAACCCTGATCGAGCMGGTTTATTTAAATCCCAGACACGAATTGTATCATCAAATGCTGAGGTTACAAGAAGTTTCGTATTTCTACAATATTCAATACTTTTGACCCAATTTGTATGACCAACAAGACTATAAACTTTAGATTTCAAATTCCTTAAGTCCCAAAGTGCTAAAGTTTTATCATCAGAACACGTTAAAAACAGCTTTGGATCTAAAAATCTCACACAGTTGATGCCATCATCATGAGCTCTGTCATTTGTATAAATTAATCTTTGACTAAGCGGGTCGTAAATTTTGAAAGTTGATCGTTCACATGCGGCCACAACTACTTTCCCATCGGGAGAGAACTCAGTGTTGAACACAGCACCGTGATTGCCATCTACTCCTTTTACTGGCTTCAACGCCATGTATTTGTAATAATTAGCTACCACTGAATCATACTGAAAAACAGCACCGTGTTCACGCTGTTTGAGGTATTTGTACGAACTCCAAGCGTCTTGCAAGTCTTGAAGTCCTGTGCTTTTGAACTGAAATTCCCCCATGTTTAGGCAATTAATAAACAAAAAGAAAACGAGACCAATTCTTTATCGAGGTAAAGCGTGACCATGAACTAATTCCTTTCYCATGTCTGTACGTAATTAATCAGYTAAATTACAATAAATAAGAAGTAAAACCCTGTGAAGTGAGCATCGAGCAAGCTGCATTTTGTAAACTTTACCCAGACTACCTCCTTTGTACTAGAACAGGGAGACCAGAATATATTAATAGAATTTCTTTGTTTTATTCCCTCTGTTGCGACGTTAAAATTATTCTGTTGGTTTTTATGTTTGTAAGAAAAGTCATTTTTCTGCAAGAAAATAGAGCAAGCAAGAAAAAAAAAATAATTAAAAACTGACTAAATCTTASTCTTTTTACAGCAGGACGTTTTTCAACCGTAMGATTTGGGCCTCCTGTGTGTTTAGCGCTGATTCATCAAAGACAAGATGGCCGTTCCTGGCGGATTTGAGTTATTTGACGGTCCAAATGGCGGTGTTTTAGCAATTGCCATTGGTACATTAATAGTTCTTATTACAACATGTAAGTCYCTATTGATATATTGTACGGTTTTTATTTATTTGGTCGTTTTTTTTTGTTAGAAAATAACTCTTATTTCCGTTCAAAAACAGACCATGTGCAGCTGACATTTTTTCTCTTTTCGCTTTTCTCTTTCAAGTACTTCTGTTCTTCTTGAGAAGAGGAACTCGAAAAGGCAACCATGTACTGTTAGTGGGTCTYACTGATGCTGGTAAAACACTATTATTTAGTAGGGTAAGTTTGTATTGTCAGATTTGATTTTAGATTTTTGAATTTTTTTAATCGTCCATAAGCTTACTTAAGCTTAAGTAAGTATAAGATTTCTTATATTTATAGAGCTAGTAGACTATAATTTTCTATTCTGTGTTTAAAATAGTGCATGTCCTTTTTTGTAATCAAATAAATAAAATCAGTGGGATCGATTATTCTGATTTATTCATCATTGTTCCTTATTATATGTTGTGAATAGATTTAGAATATTTAAGGTATGTAATGTGCATTTGTATTGGCAGAGTTGTCCATTAGAAATATGGTCTGCTATGCTACTATAATTGCGTTGCTAAGATTAGAACTTCTTGCATTTCTCTCCCTATCGAACCATGGAACCAGAACGTAGAGGCAACCAGACATTTTATAATTCCTTAAAAMTTAAAATTCCAGTATAGTTGCAAATAGTCTCAATTCTAGGARATAGTTGAATAACCAAAGAATACCCACTTTCATTGGTATTGTGAGAATAGCCAATTTCTGGCCATTTTTGTAAGGCATTGTATATGTTTTCATTTTCTCTTCCTATCTACAGCTGACAAGTGGTAAATAYGTCATGACTCATACTTCTATGAAAGAAAACAAAGGGTCCTGTATCTTAGCTAATGGGAAAGTAAGTCTTGTCAGTCAAATTATATGATTTGAACACTTTCATGTTTATGCAGAGCTTCAAAATCAAATGTTTGTAAATATTGCGGATTGCATAATGACTGTGCAAAGACACCAAACACAATACAATCTAGGTGGGGTAAAGTGAACACACTTAATCCGTGAAGCTTAAATAGTACAAAATAATATTAAATTATGCTAATCACTTTGTTTTCTATTGTTAATCAACACTATTTAGTAGTAATTAGTAGTATTTGTTTCACGGATTTATTGCGTTCACTCTATCTGTCACAAAGTTCTCCTGTAATGATACAATAGTTGATATGTGATCACAGCCATGGTATGGTATGGTCATGTCACGCAAGAATCGTTGTTGTTGTTGTTGTTGTTGTTGTTGTTTTGCATTAGTCATATGAAATCTTGACTGAAAGAGGCAATTTTAAAAGTTAAGGAGCATAACAATGAGGGAAGAATAAAACCTAGCCTCCTCCGCAGGCATCACTAAGAATCACGGGCTTCCTGTCTTTTTGAGGAGTCAAAAGAGGGAGAATGGGGGCGAGAACTCGTCACTAGTCCCTAGCGGCCAAAATGACCGTTACAAAGGAAGCCCAAAGGAGGAAAAAAGAGTTGCCTGTGGAGGAGGCTAAATAAAACCAAAGTTGGAGACTGCTACACAGGTTTTATTTTTGAAATGTCAGTCACACCAACCAGTCCTTTCTACATTCACCCAAATCAAATCTTTTGACAAAATCTCATTTCTTTGATTAATATACATAAAAGTTTCAGACCTTTTCATTCTAAACTATAAATCAAAAGTCTGCAATTTATGATTGTTGTCACTTAAGTATAAATCTGTTGAAAATTGGAGCAAGTTTCTTGCTACTTTGTTTCATTTTCTATGACACTATACAGCCTTTTGCACAAATTATGAGACTTTTTTATATATATAA